CAAAAATTGCTTTTTTCTGTAAACAAATGTTTGCCCCGATGCCAATTCATTGCAAACAGAGCTATGCGCCCAAGGCGCCTCTTGATAGTTTTTCCAATCGTCAAAATAATAACGTCAGTACGTCCCTGCCACGTGGAGTCCTATGTGTCAGTTACTGATGTGCTCTGTTCAGTATTATTAGTGCCATTTTGTTGTGTAACAGCTGTGAAATCGAAGCCTCTCGTAATAAAAAAGTTAGCTCTCTTCAACGTCTTTTTACCGTATTACATAATTCTCTCCGAAAATGACTAATTGTTGGAATTTTCGGTGTGTTGTGGCAATAAGAAACAAGCCACAAGTATAATGACGTGACGTTGAAAGATTCAAAGATATTAAGGTCATTAAGTTTTTCTTGAATACTAAAAAAACTGGTCTGGGCACATACCTCCTTTAGAATTTCTACGCCCCAGTCAATAAATTTTTGGTATCTAAAATTAGGACGCTACGATTTAAAAATGCTTTCTATTCTTGATGACTAAATATGTTATAGAATTCAATTTATTTACAGAGTCCTTTGACGCTTGCTCAGGAGTTACGGTGACATCCAATAGGGAGCTTAAACCTCACAACTGTAGATGTCATCAAAGTTCCGGATTGGATGACACCGTAACAGTTGATTTGCGTCAATGGACTATGTTTAAATCGAAATCATGTACATTCTTCGAAAATCGCAAGATAGTCATGGTGCGTTTGCAGAGGGCTGATTTTCTGACTCGACTAGCAAAATACCCGACGTTACCCAGGTTTTCTTCACATCCAATTCTTTCGGAAGAGGATAAATATACATTTCATTTACACCATGATGTTTAAGATTATTTTTAATGTAATTGGATGGAATTATAATAAACTACTATAATTTTCGTTTGGAAATTTTTTTTACAAAGTATTCAGTGAGAATAAGACTGCCTTTATATATGTTATTTTTGAATTTGTTTCAAGGTCCTTTTTTTAGGTAGACATTCAATCATATAATAAACTTTTATTTACAATTTTTGCTTGTGCTAGATTGTTTGATTTTAAATAAACGTTTATTAAATGATTAAATGTCTGCCTAAGAAAAGGACCTTCAACCAAATTCAAAAATACTATAATTTTCTTTCACTTCATCGCTTCCGATGGTGCGCGTGGCGAGCGTGTGTGTGGTACGTTGCGCAGGTGATCCAGTCGAACGGCGACCACGAGGTGTGCGAGAGCGAGCGGCTGCTGGCGCGCGTGGCGATGCGGCGCTCGCACGGCGCCGTGGTGCACTGGGAACCGCCCGCGCCCGCGCCCTCGCCCTCGCCCGCGCCGGGGCCCGGCCCCGCCCGCGCCCGGCCCCGCACCGCAAGCCGGCCCGTGCGTTCGGCTTCCTCCGTCTACTTCCGGAGCGGCCTTCAAGAACTGTCAGCGCCCAGCGGACGGAGTGTGGTTCCTCGCATCGTTTCGCGCGTGTTAATGGAGATCGCATCGCTCGAACGCCCACTCGGCTTGGCTTGCCGGCTCGTCACGACTCGCCTGACCCGTCCTACTCGATAAGGACGCCCGATCGTCTTGTCTCGCCACGATAGCCGTACGATTCGATCCTTACGACCCGACACGCACGACTCGCCCTTCATGATCGGACTTGTCGACTCGGTCGACGCCTGCCCGCCCTCCCGATCATTTCCGACGCCCTCGATCCATTCCCCGTCTTCCGATCTATTTCGACCGCCTCGATCCATTCCGACCTTCCGACCCCATCCCACCCACCGACCCGACCCGACCCGACCCGACCCGCACCCGACCCGACCCGACCCGACCCGACTCCACCCGACCCGGAGATAAGGTGTGAAGAGGGAGCCGACTGGAGATATGCGGAGATAAGGTGTAAGAGAAAAGTGTAATAGATAAGTCGGATACGACTTATCTATTACACTTTTTGTTTTGCTGTGTCGATGTCAATATCTCCTTTATTACATTTTAATGGTATAATGTTGTAATGTGCTTGTTTTTTACGTTAAGATTATGCACACTTCGCATTACTTAATTAGTTTCTGCTCTTGTAAGAAAGGAAATGAATATTACCCATTGTTTAACAAAGATTCGGAATAGATTAGTAAAACATAATATGACAATTTACCTACAATTATTGTTATTGAAACTTATTGTTTAAAAAATACATGTGAAGGAAACATGAGATCTTTCTCATTGTATTGTTTCTTCAAAAATTACACAAGTATGTTTCAGTGGTTATTTCCACTTCGGTGCTTTGTAATGCGGTCAAGTAACGTAAAACAAACTAAATAGATTCCTTTTTTTACACTTTAGTTTTAATAACAATGGAAACTGAGAAAATAAACCCTGAAACATGTTAAGTAATATTTGAAGAATCATTAAATTATGACATTGTGGAGGATATTTTTCTATATCAACAGAATACATGTTAATCTTGCCGTGACAGAATAAATTGGAATCAATCAATTGTACCTTGGAAACTTCCTGCTAAGTATTGTCACAAAGTACGGAAATTGGTACGTGCTCCCATTGGCAAAGTTACACTGTTTAGTATGCGTCGTTGAGTTTGCTCTGACGGCTTTTGTTTACTCAATGTGCGCGTTAGGTGCCTTCTATTCCGACATAAACTTTCATGAACCTACTTATTATCTGCGATCTAAGTGAACGTGAGTGAAAGTGGTGATTCGCATGCCAACTTTCACTCACAGTGTAGAGAATCGGAATGTTAATGAACGTGCAAAGTACAGTCACAATGGATCCGTGTTCCACCGAATAAATGTTCGGGCGTGAACGGCCGACTCGTTCTGCCGAACGATAGCGGGTGCATTACATTCGACAGTGTCAGATTTTCAGCTCCAAAGTGTTACGTGGTGGTGACTTGTAATGGAAACGAAAAGATTAAAACTGTTCGGGGGAAGCAATGTGTCATGTGTTATTAAATACGTTTGTAAATAAAATAATATTCACATTTCAATTCGATTTTGTGAGGTTAAGCTCATGGCAAAAGCCATCGCCGACTCTGTAAGAGTTCACTTATTTTAGCTTCATTGTGTGTTTCTGTGGAGAATAACACTACAAACCACTATTCTAATAATTGAGCAAATTACTTTTTAAACCATTGAGGGAATAGTAGTTTATGCAATTAATTTATAATGTTGAGATTTATTGCATGCGTACATGTTTGGAAAACGAGTGACTTTAGGAGCGAGTTTTCAAATTTGTACGAATATATTAAAGCAACATTATAAACAAGTTGCATACTATATTTTTTGTATAACCGCATTATACATTTATAAGAGAATCAAACTTAACTTTGCGAAACAACTACCCTGTGACGACTAGGATATTTGACATCGTGCGAGTAAATGGTGGTCGGCTGTTCCGTTTAGCTCTACCTCCCCCCCCCCCTGATTCTCTCGCTACGATGGGCTAATGTGATGACTCAATCATTCGTGACAAAATCTAATACGTCATCATATGTGCCGTAAAATGCTCGATTATGAACGATTTCTTGCAACAGAAAAGGTTCTTTTATAATGCTGGAATACAAAAAAGAATATTATTATGCGGATTCTGCTTTATGAAGGTGTTCATAGCGCCGTGTAGCGCTCACAGCCCTGTATGCTGGGAGAGGAGTGCCTCGAGCTGGAACTGAGCCATATGTGCTGTGTTGCGTGCGCCGTGTGTGGAGTGTCGTGGGTGAAGCGTCGTGCGTGGTGCGATGTGGATCAAGCGTCGTGTGTTGGGCGTTGTGCGCTGTTCGTGGAGCGTTGAGTATTTTACAGAGCGACGTTTATAGAGCCCTCAAAAACCTGTATCGTGCGTGATGAGCCCTAGGTGCTGAGTGCCGGGTGATGATGAATTCCTTGCTCTGGGCGTTGAGTACTGTATTGTACTGTACTGTATTGTACTGAACTGTATTGTACTGTACTGTATTGTACTGTACTGTATTGTACTGTACTGTATTGTACTGTACTGTATTGTACTGTATTGTACTGTATTGTACTGTACTATACTGTACTGTACTGTACTGTACTGTACTGTATTGTACTGTACTGTACTGTACTGTACTGTACTGTTTTGTACTGTACTGTACTGCACTGTTTTGTACTGTACTGTACTGTATTGTACTGTACTGTATTTACTGTACTTATTGTACTGTACTGTATTGTACTGTACTGTATTGTACTGTACTGTATTGTACTGTACTGTATTCTACTGCATTGTACTGTACTGCACTGTATTGTACTGTACTGTATTGTCTGTACTGTACTGTATTGTCTGTACTGTACTGTATTGTCTGTACTGTACTGTATTGTCTGTACTGTACTGTATTATACTGTATGTACTGTTCTGTATGTACTGTACTGTATTGTACTGGCAGTACTGCAGTAGCGATCTCGGATATGAAGGATCGCGGGTTCGAGGCCCGCCTCAGGTATGGTCGTATTTGTGTTCGCCCTTTTACCCCTCTCCATCATCAAATCGCATTACATTGTTAACCCTATCGTTTATCTATAGTGGCCGACTACTACTTGACCTAGCTGTTAATGCAACCTTAAAGAACAAACGACAAAAAAAGAATTTTACTAAGCCGAGAGCTGTGCACGTACTGTACTGTACTGTACTGTACTGTACTGTACTGTATTGGGCCGAGAACTGTGTACAGAATTGTACTGTGTCGAGAGCTCTGTACCGTAATGTATTATATTTTATTGGGCGGAGCGCTGTGTACAGAATTATAATGTGCCGACAGCTGTGTACTGTACTGTATTGTATTGTGCCGAAAGCTGTGGACAGGTTTGTACTGTGCCGAGAGCTTTGTATTAGGCCGAGAGCTGTGTACTGATTTGTACCGTGCCGAGGGCTGTATACTGTACTGTCCTATACCGCATTGCGCCGAGCGCATTGTCCTGCGTGCCGCTCGCGTGTGCGCTGAATTGCCCTGTAGTGAACCGTTGTCAACCGCTGTGCGCGGGTGTGCGCAGGTGTGCGGGGCGGAGGGGTGGCAGGTGCAGGACGCCGGGCGGCGCGCGGCGCTGGAGGCGCGCCTCGCGGACCCCGCCCCCGCCCCCGGCCGGGGCCCCGGCGCGGCCCCTGGCTCCACCCCCGCGCGCTGGCTGTCGGCGCCGCTCACCAAGCTCAAGCCCTACACGCAGTACGCCTTCTACGTCACCACCTACAGGTGAGCCCAACCCCCTCCCCCCCCTTTTCAGTTGCTGGGGGGAAGTCTCTCCGCATCGAGCCGAACCACGGCCTCCTATTAAAAATTACATTAATGTTGGTTTTTTAGCTGGCTTTTTTTAACTGGCTAATTTTGGCAAACAGATAACTGAGGAAACAAGTGAAGGGAAAAACACATCTCGCATCTATTCTGATTGTGGTGAGTCGCATGTACTGTTCGAAGCCGCAGCTCGAGCTACCAACGAAATTTCTGTCGGAAGTACTCTCACCAACAGGGTGCCACTGCGGGGAGAGTTTTGGGCGCTAAAAGAATTAACATTGTTCAGTATGCGTCATTTCACTCAGTATGCGTTTCTCCTTACAACCTTGATCTTACACATCATTGCAGGGCAAGGTGTTCGACTCACACGGTGTGCATGGTGGAGGTCTCTTTGAAGTTACCCAAAATATAACCGTGTAAAACAGTTCCTTTATCGTTACTACTTGAAATAGAAGGGTATCCATGTAATGTTTTGGGTCACTTTTTTTTTGCAATTCCGTCGTAACAAATATTGAATGAAAATTCGAAACTGCTTTTCTTACCCGGAAAGTCGCGCTACAAGTGAATTGCGATTGCCGGAGGAACTGACTGAACTTAGCTACACGCACATTCTTTTCAGAGATATCGTAATTTGCGCCTGGATGCCTCTATTGTGATTTTCGGCGTTTGCATAGGAAATATCCCTTGGTTAATATCAGTACCCTTAATAACGTAAATAACCAGAGATTAAACTTCTAAAGGATTTGGGTCAACAAAATTCTTCGAAAAACTGATGTGTAGCAACAAAGTGAGTATCAGTTAAATATTAAAAGATCCCATTCAGCATCGTAGGCAGTTCTCACTTCATACTAGCTTAGCATAATTTGTTCTATGCAAGTTCTTAATAAAAAATATAATATAGTTGTTCACTCATCAATCCTCGGGCACAGGTAATTAATTACATGAAGAATTGTCGATAAAAATAATTTTCAAATGCAAAATTTGATTAATTTTCATTAATTTGAATAAAACTCGTTATGATGGAAAGTCTGTATAGTAGTTCACTTTGCCACACAGCTGAAAGTCCACATTTATTTCAGAATACTTTCAGACTATTTTTAGAAAGATAAAAAACGCCAATAAATTCGCATCTTGTGTGAAGGAATCGAATGAGCTATTGATTACTTCTATAAGTACTTAAAACCCCCCACAAAATGCGTTTGATGTGCGACTGCTCACACTCACACACACACACACACACACACACACACACACACACACACACACTAAAATAGTATTTTTTCGAGAGTTCTCTTAGAATGTTCTGGAAAAGTTCGGAATGAATTTCATTTTTATGCCGCAAAACTGAGAGGCATAGAAAGATGCCTCGTATACCCCGAGTGGAGAATTTACGGGCTAACGTAGTCTCGATTACTACATTGCATTCGTTTTACGCCCGAGTTGACTCGCCCTGAAGTGAAGAGAGCGAGACCCGATGTAAACGTGTTCTTCAAATGAACGACTCCAGTGTTTTGGCGAATGCGTCCATTCCAGAGCCCACACTGCGTTGCCGCGCGTTTAACGCCATCATTCGTCATTAACGCCCGGGATCACTCGTTGAACGGGAGCGTATAAATCGGTCCGAATTTCCCTCATTAACTCCTGCAAGGCTGGGCAAAATACTTTAAGTTTAGTATTTAAATACTTCGCCAAAATAGTTTGTTAATAAATACTTAATTACATACTCAAAATACATTAGAGTTTGATTTTCTAAATGCATACGAGTTGCAAATACTTGAAATAATACAATAAATACAATTCTATTATCTTTTTTATTGCAACAATATTTTGTAATTGTCAATTATAATAAACTAGTAATTGACTGTCATAGAAATTTCTGATCAACAACTAACTGTAATGTTTTCTTAATGTAATTAATCCAAAAAATTAACGAAACTAAATAACAACATTTTGAAATATCTGGGTAATTGTTCAACGTACTTGGGAATAAACGCAAAAGTATAGCCTACAAATGTTCTTTTTATTAAAGTATGTTAAGTATTTCTTTTATTAATAGGTCTATTGTATGTATTTAAAAATATCTCCAAAGTACTCGCCCCAAAACTCACCAATACAGTTTTTCAAATACAAATGAATTTAAAATACTTGTTTCAAATCCAAGTATTTAAACACTGCCGTACCCCGGGCCCCTGTATCTAACTGCGCGTGGTCGGCTCCGATGTGTTGCAGCCAGACGTCTTCGGGCGCGAGCAGCGACATCGTGTACTTCACGACGCTGCCCGCGCAGCCGTCCATGCCTCGGGTCTTCGCCGCCGAGGCGCTGCCGAGCCCGGCCGACGGCGACGGCGACTCCGCAGGATCTACCCACGCCCCCACGCCCGCCACCTCCCCGCACCCCGCCCCAGATCGCGAGGCCAAGGTGAGACACGCTCTGTTAACGCGGAAGACGAAAGGGAAGAAAAACGACGAAAATGGGAATATTCCTGAAGGAACTTGACTCTCGAGTGCAGATGGCGTCAATAGAAAATAGTGACAGTGATCGATCTCAGTTGAAGTTTTCCCAGCGAAAATAATGAAAGTTGAAGCAAACTTTTAAATCATTATACTATACCCCAAAGATGAAAGTAGTCCCAACATTAATTCACATGTATTTACCCCATTTCGCTCTAAAACGTGAGTGAATAATGGAATGGATCCTCCTTTTCATCAAGAAAAAAAGAACGAGTTTCTTATTACCTTTTGATTTGCAAGAATGAAGTAAATACTCATAGTAAAGTTATGTTTATTCACCTTTCGAGCATTGTATTATAATGTCACCTTTGGAAACAAAAATGTAAGTAAATTGTGAACTCTAGTATCTAATCATTTATCCCTCTTTCACGTTTCTTAATTTTCTGATATTCAACTTGGGATTGCAACAGACAAACCCGCGGTTATCTAGTGTTACCCATATGATTCTCAATGTGTGTACTATGGGTTACGTTACATTCAATGTGCCACATTGCATTCAAAATGTTCGCGTTTAGGACTTGGGACCACTTGCATTAATCTTCGTTAATCCAGCTCCTGGGAATGGTTAGGGGCATACACAAGCTCACGCAGTCCGAAGTGCGTGTCTTGTGGGTTGCCTTATCTCCAGGCGCAGTCTCAACATGCATAAACAAAATTGACCAGTTCCTAGCAGTGTATATTGTGGTTAAATGCTGATTGGTCATGGTAACCATTTACATTTACTTGTGTATGAGAAAAGCACGAAAAAATTCTGTATGTGGTTAAATTTGTATAGGATGTACGTCAGAATACAGCTACTACACGAAAAAAAAAGAACGGTTGGAGTAAACCAGATCGATGATACTGTAACAAGGAACCTCTTTACAGTAACATGGATCTGATATACTTCAACGGTTCTTTTTTCGGTGTATGATTAATATATTACGAGCGAGGGCGGGGCCGTATTGGCTCTCTCACGTTCAGTCGGTGACCGGAAGCGATAGAAAATCGAGGTCGGGAAAAGGGTCAACGTTCGTTCGTTGAAACAGCTGCTCTCCGTAGAGTGAACGCACGGGAACGCCACGTAGCAATACGGGAAACGAAGTTAGTGCGCCTTGTCCGAGCAAACAGTGGTGACCCATTCTCCTAACATCTCGTGGCGTGACGACTCCTCTCGAGGTTCGGAATGTGAGAAATGGTGTCGGATCCCCGGCAATTTCTGATGTGGAAGAGGACTACGTCAAATTTAAAAATACTAGCAGGTCTGCCCTTAGGTTTCATGCAAACTCAAAAAAAATGATCATGTCTTTCCCCTTTAGTGCTTTTTTCTTAGAATATTTTCTCTCGTTTTTGGTGCCTCGCAAGTGAGCGGCATGAGGTTAGGTGAGAAACGTACTGTAGGCTTCGTAATAGCCTTGACATCTCCGGTCTAGCAAAATAGTGTGTGTAATGTGATATGTTTAAAATAGAAAATGTTAGACTTATGAAATAAAGTATAAAATGGTTATTTATTGTGAGTATTCAAGCCACAATGTGATAATTCTGCCGAAGCGAGGAAGGTATTACTCATTTTCGAAGACAGGGGGATGAGTTGTAAGATGTCACTTGGAAAGTTTTCACATTTCCTGTCAAATATTAGCCCCCTTTTGTAATTTATTAAAATTGAAAGGAAGTATGTGATGGTAAATAAGGCTGAAGTAAAAGTATATGTACATTTATTTACAATAATGTATAAATGTAGCTTTGGTGAATGTACAAAGTAAATTGATAAATTCATTTCGGTCTACGCGAATGTTCTGTGCTTTAACAAGGACACGCGTCCCTTGCATGATCGCCCAGCCACCGTCCACTTCCGCTCTGCTACCGAGAATAAACCCCTTTCGGCTCGCGATCGTCCTGTAGCCCAGAACGCGTGGTCACCTCATATCTGGTGGCCATAAACGCACCCCCATCGTCGAGGCTACTGAAGGAAGAATGAATAGTCCTTTTCTGTCCGAGACTTTCAATGGAAATCAAAAGGCTTGCTTTGTTCGTCTGAAAAAGACTCCCTCCCGCACCATTAGCACTTAGCGACTGCCTTTCGGACCTGACCCTATGCTGCTCAGGTTTCCGGTTGCATTATCCGCCTAGTGAGGCCTCGTCTCTGTGTCCATTGTAAGGGTACCAGATGAGGTGTCTCAGAGCATCAACTGATGACAATACAGTGCCGGAAGGTAGTATGGTTACAGTCTCGACGGTAGCATGATTTTCGACACTAGCTTGTTAGCTAGGTCGAATTCATCCGCTGTCTGCAAGAGAATTCTAGCGGCCGAATGCCTGAGAAGTACTCTAACAAACGGGACGGGCCTCGGACCGTGAGCCATGTTTCCTTTCTCTTCGTTGTCCTTTCCTCACCCTTTACACTTTCAATTACTTGCACTACACTGTCACACAAGTCGGGAGCTTGGAGCTTGTCTCAGCTGGGGCGGTGCCAGTGGTGGGAGATACCTGGATGCGGAAAACTCCGCAAGCCTCAGGAATCATAAAAATTAATAAAACAAAATTTTGACATTTTAAGTCTGCACTACCACACATTTTGAAAGCTTAGAGATTGTCTCAACAGGGGCGGTGACAGCGGTGCGAGATACCTTGATGTAGAAAAGTCCGCAAACCTACGTTTAGGTCGGCGGCGGATCTCGCTATCTGGTGTGCGAAAAACCACCGCCACCTGCGGATGTAAAAAACGTGCTCTACACTAACGGGACTAATGCCCATCGACCATTGCTTCCCTGGCACAGGCCGTGCCCGAGGTGCGGGTGCCGCGCGCTGCCTGGACGGCGTCGGCGGAGGAAGGCGGCGAGGACGCGGGTGAGCAGGGGCAGGAGCCGCTGCCGGAGGGCGAGGAGGCGGTGGTCCTGAGCTGGCTGCCGCCCTCCGAGCCCAACGGCCGCCTCACCTACTACGTGGTGCGCGGCGCGCAGCTGCCCGACCCGCCCGACCCGCTGCGCGACTACTGCGCCGACCTGTGCGACGGCTGCGCCCCCGAGCCCGGCGCCGCGCCGCCGCTGCCGCCCGTGCCGCCGCACCCGCCGCCCGCGCCCGCCAAGGCGCCCGCGGTGAGCGACTCCCCCTATCTATGTGACTTTTCTCTCTCTCTTTCTCTATCTCTCTTTCTCTCTCTCCCTCTCTTTCTCTCTTTCTCTCTTTCTCTCTCTCTTTCTCTCTATCTCTCTCTTTCTATCTCTCTCTTTCTCTCTCTATCTCTCTCTTTCTATCTCTCTCTTTCTCTCTCTCTCTTTCTCTCTTTCTCTCTCTCTTTATCTCTCCCTTTATCTCTATGTCTCTTTCTCTCTCTCTCCCTCTCTTTCTCTCTCCCTCCCTCTCTTTCTCTCTCTCTCTCTTTCTTTCTCTCTCTCTTTCTTTCTCTCTCTCTTTCTTTCTCTCTCTCTTTCTCTCTTTCTCTCTCTTTCCTGTATATATGTGTGCGTCCGTGAGTGGGTAGGTGCGTGTTTGTGTGTTGGTATGTTCGATATCGATGAACTCCGACACCGTCAGACCGATCTCCACGAAAGTTGGCACAAATTCGTCTTTTTTCATGGAAAGGTTTTTATGCCGATGATTTTGTTGCAACTCCACTAAATGGCGCTGCAGTACAAGATGGCCCTTAAGTTAAATGCAAGTTCCAATCCACCTCGGTTTCATTGTTCTTCGGCGTTGTCGTGTGGTGCGGAACTAGGCCGAGGAGGAAAGTTCGGGTGGTGGGAAAGAAAGACAGAGAGACAGTGAGAGTTTGAGGAGCAGAGAGGGAGGGAGGGAGGGAGTGAGTGGACGAAGAGGGAGGGTTGAGAGAGGGAGAGGGAGGGAAGGAGTCGGAAAGAGAGAAAGAGGAAGAGTGAGCTGGACAACGTCTGCAGGAATGTTTATATTTCCAATGCTATGCAGCCTCTGGCGAAATGAGAGAGGTGCCTATAGTTTTGTTAGATAACTATTATATCAGAAAAATTCAAATTCATCCTTATTACTCATTTCCAATGTGCACAGGCATTGAAAGAAAACTGCTGAGCCTGCGGCCATGTAAAAGGTGCTACTTATTTTGACTGACACACAGAAACTCGTTGAAAATCCAAAAACCATGAAACAGATTCGATTTTGACTGAAAAAATGCAAATATTTTGTGTTTTTCCACCTACTCATACTCAGCGTAATGAGTTCTCATACTAGGACAAGTCACTGCTTACGACACAATTCATATAAGCGAGAGCAAGTCTGCAGGGAAGATGCCGCCCATCACTAAATATTTGTTATTCAGTGGTGCGTTATGAGACAGAAACTTATTTGATAATCTTGTTGTGTAAAGAACTGTTCTACTCTATAGTATTCCTGCAGACTGTTTTTGTTAAAATATTTAATACAATGCAGTGTTATACAGTAGTATTTTATTTGTTGGTCTTTAGCAGTGTTTGTATGTTTTGGAAAACCATTTTGTGTGAATTGGTTCAGCATTTCGCTGCTTCAGGCCACTAGTTGGTTCATAAAAGTGAACGTATAGCGTATGTTATAGCTCAGGACAGCAACTGTCGACATTCAGCTTCAGAATACCAGATCCATGATACAAGTTACCTTGTTACAGTATCATGGATCTGTTATACTGCAACTGTTCTTTTTTTTCGTGTGGTTTCGCCGATCAACACCAGACGAATGCCGGAGAAGTACCCTAACAAATGAAACGCGTACTATGTTTTCTTCCTCATCTTTGCCCCCTCTCCTCTCCGTAAACACACACTTAGATGCACTACCCAACCACATCGGATACCAATCAGGAACTTAGAACTTCTGTTCTCTGCTGAGGTGGTGTCCCGCCGGCGGAGATACCTGGAGAGGGAACTCCCGCAAGCTGACGTGTGTGTCAGTAACATTTCGCACATTCTAACTGAAAAGGGACACTGCCAACTCCCGGGCTCCCCGCTGGAGGGGGGGGGGGCATCGGGGCTGCGTAGGTAGACGCGGTCTCTGGTGAAGAGATGTAGACGATCACCCGGGACCTGAGTTTCTCGGCGGCACTCACGTCGATAGCTTGAACGTGGAGGCAGTGAGTAGGCGATGCTAAGCTCCTGGTTGCCGGGCTTGCCGGGTAAGCTAGTCGGGCCTATGGCGCCTCGTCCTTTGGGCAGGATCGGGTGAAGGAAATTTTACGGAATGCTCGGGACTCCACATAGAAGTCCGGCGGGAACTTGATGCCACTCGCCAGGTTGCCTGGATTTTGTTGATAGTCACATCAATAGCCTAGCCCTCAATAGTGACTAATGGTCGTAGCAAAGCACCTTGACGGACAAAATAATCAATGGTAGAAGTATGTGTTCATGTATATGCCACGAAGAGATTGGAACCATTGCAGAGATTGCTACCAAGGTTAGCGAGAATACTTTTGAGCAGCGGAGAATCAGAATATTGGGGGTTCTGATTCAAAATTCACATTCTAATGCATCTCGCATTGCGTTTATATGTTAAGTTATCGCGTTGCAGCTGTGTGGACATGTGTTGTTCAGAGCGCGATCGGAACAGAGAAGAGGAGGATTTGTTGGACAACGGGGGACGGCGGTGCCTACGGAGTGTGGCGAGCGGTGGGCGGGGGCGGGAGGGAACGCATAGGAAGTGTAGAGAATTTGAGAATGCCCTTATTTCCAAACGACTACTACCTAGCATACATTTTTTCATCAAAGCTGTTACTGATTTTTTTATTATACACATTTTCAATGCGGAAAAATTCATGATTATATTTCGTTTCCGTAAATATGAGTTTTATAATTTTAATGAAATGTTTCTGCTCGATAAAAACATACGTATCCCAAAAGTAAAAATTTATCACAAATTGGCTAATTTATTGTCGTATAAAAATGTGTGGATATTTCCATTTAATATTAATGGGGTTGTAAAAAAAATGTTTCTTTCGCGAGCGAAATATTTGTTATTTTTGGCCTTGAATTGCATAACCAAATGATCTTAGAGTTAATGTGTTTTGTAGGAAAGTAGGAAGTAAACTCATCGGTCTTTCAAATAAAGTTATTTCAGATAGATGATGACGAGTTACTGGCTGTTTTACAAGCCAATTCTTTTTGTGTAAATATACCTGATCGAAGTGAGGTGCGTATGTGCACAGAAATGTAGGGTTCGGCCAGAAAACGGTGCCAGGAAATAACGAGTGTTGGGTGTACGCCATCAGCTGTCACAGAATCTTCGCAGTTGCTTTGTGGTTCGCCCGCATGGTTAATGGTAGGTGTCATGCGACGTGTGGCGGCTGAACTGGGTGACAAAGGTTGGGTTTTAGCCAATCAGAAATGTTGGGAAGTTTTTTTTTAACGAAAAAGTGGGAGGTTACATATGCTACAACGAAAGGAAACTTCTTATGGAGGTGTAGGTCTCAGTTCGAGATATTGCCGCACTTTTGATATTGAAAATTGACATTCCAGAAATTAATTTACCACATATATATTTCTATAAAAAGTAAGGGAAAATGACTAGGAACAGCTGGGACGCACTTATCCAGTCCAAAACTTAATTTAAAACTTAATTTTTGAGTTTGGAGCCTCCCGATTGGTTAACCACGTTCCAGCTAATCAACCGTCAATTCGTCCTACATTTTAATCGTTTTTTATCAAAAATTGATATTTTTCCCTGCAGCATTACAATTCTTTCTCTATACTCTACACACACGACAAAATAAAAATTGGGATGGGAGAGGGGAAATTCCTCCCTCTCTTACGTTGCGACCTCATATCCTTTTTCTTAGTGGGCGGTATCAATTAGGGTCCATGTCTAAGCCAAACTTTGGCCTATTTAAAACCACTTTGATGTCCTTATTTCTTGCGGAATATTTACATTATGAATGTACCAATAATTAATATTTATAAAACTAGTGACCTGCAACAGGGAAAAAGCTGCTAAACAAAACCACACAAAATTGATTTTCCAAAAAGTAGCACTACACATGAAGTCACTGAACACTCCAATACATTAAATAGTTTAACAAAAATAGTCTTCAAGAATACTGCAATAACGTAGTGTAGTTTATACAAAGTGCAGCAGTTCTTTACATGCCTAGATTATCAAAGAGGTGCTGTTCCATAACCCAACACGTATTTTTTAAAACATTTTATATATTTTATTTGCAATCTGTTACTTCCGAACCACAGATTAGATCTTCGAACTCCAAACAATAGGCAAATCTTTTGGCAAAGTTTTACAATGGCATGTGAAGGAACTAGGCTTTCACAATCCTTCATAGGTCTGTAGTAAACCAATATAAATTATCATAGCACTATCAATATAACATCACAAGTCAGATATGAACATTTTCAATTATGCATTTAATTGAATGCAATTAATATATCTTGCATTTAATTATCGAACCTATTTAAGAGATCCAGACGATGAAATTTGCACAATCTTCTTAAGTCTTGGCAATTGTCTAGTAAGTTTAATACTAGGTAATTTGGGTGATTTTCTAGGCTTTGTAATTCATTTAGCAACTGAATTGAACTTCTTCGCATATTGTGGGTACAATGAAGTCATTGTGAAATGTTTTATTTGAAACAAACCACGGGGCATTGGCAAGCAATCTTAAAGTTTTTGATAGAAATCGCTGCTGTATTTGTAGGTTTGAGTTGGTCGCAGTGCCCCAAAGTTTATTCCGTCGGTACAGACTGGTTTTAATATTGATTTATAAATCAATAGTTTATTTGCCAATGAAAGATAGCAATTATTTAAGGACGGGCTGGTATTTTCTTGGCGGCTTGCTGTCGCATGACGTAGACTGAACGAGTGCGAGAATTCAGTCGGCATGCACATTCGCCGAGCCGCGAGCGACTACCCTCCGAATCCCTAGCAGCTGATGTCCTGGGTGAATGTTCGCTTCCTTTGGTGTGTAAATAAGACTGGCACCCGGTGAGTAAAAGTGGCTCGAGCTACTGCTCGCTCAATCCCGAACTGTTGATGTGTTCGGCGAGTGTTCGCTCTCTCTGATGTGCCCTTAAAACTGACGTTCGGTGCGTAGGACGAGCATCGAATGTTCGTCACTCGGCAAATAGGAAGCAACTCATTCACACTAATCGGGATTAGGTGAGCGGTCGCCTGCTACTCGCCGAATAACGAACGTGTGTTGCCCGGTCTCCGAATGTTCGTCGCTCGGCGAATGGAAAGGAGCCCATCCACACTACTTGGGATTCGGTGAACAATCTCTTTTCTCGCCGAATACCGAATGTGTGGAGCCACCTTACGATACCTCTGAAATGGCCGGAGACTGAACCGTTTGCTTTTCATCCCTTCGTCTTAGGAGATTAGTAATACAGGCAGGCGTGCCCAGAGAAAACAAAGGGCCTGGGACAGTAGTTCCATGGGGGTGTCATATTTCGAACAAAAGTTCTCCTTATTTATTATTATCATTAATTATTTATATATTTTAAAGTGAATCATGTTTCAACTACAGCTAACTTCAAAAAATGAATTGAAGGAAATGCAGTGTTTATAAATTTCCGGGACCCCGCTTAAGTGGCAAGTTACCCCAGCTGCCCCACCCTCTGGACGCCCCTGAAAGTAATAAGGAAGGATCGGAACTGAAACTGCGCCCCCCACTCCAAAGCACTTACCGCGCTGTGCCTGTATTCTCTTCGAACGGGGAGTTTTCTTGACGTCCGACCCCGTGCGGCCGCAGGTGGCGCCCAGGGGGCAGTGCAGCGCGCCGGGAGCGGGCGCCGCCGCCTCCTCGTCGTCGTCGTCAGGGCCGCCCGGATGCGCGTGCGCGGAGAAGCGGCCGCCGCTGCGCGCCCCCGCCGACTTCTCCAAGCACTGCGCGCCCGCCGCGCTGGCCGCCGCCGCCGCCGCCCCGGGCGCCGAGGACGACGCCGTCGACCTGGAGGAGGAGTGCTCGCGCTTCGTGCAGGGCGCCCTCGAGGTGAGACGCACGCCAGGGCGCTTTCAAAAAAGAATGTAAATAAATAAATAATTAAACAAACTGACAACAAACAAACAACAAACAAACATCAACTACAAGAAACAAACATTAACAACAACAAACTAACATCAACAACAAACTGACAACTACAAACAAACTGACAACTACAAACAAACTGACAACAACAAACAAACTGACAACAACAAACAAACTGACAACTACAAACAAACTGACAACTACAAACAAACTGACAACTACAAACAAACCTACAAAAACAAATAAAAATCAATGAAACATTTATGATTTAATTTATGTAACTGTTTAATGTACGCATTATTTGCAGTTGTTTTCATCCGAGTCGGATTTTGATACCACAAGACCCCAAACATATGCTACTGTTGCCCCTCCCCCCCCCCCCTCCACAGGGGAAAAAATCCTCAAAATTTGCTAAACCAATCACAAATTGTGATAAAGTAATGTTTTGTACCAATATTATGAATCCCCCATTCTTGAATGTGGGCCCCTAGGCAACTACTTATTTTGCTTGTAGGTAAATCCAACCCTGATTTTAATTTATAAAATTTAAGGAGGACAATAAAGAAGTCTAAACTATATTAATAGTTTCTTTGGCTGGTAGGCTGTGATGTGGCACACTTGGCTTTGAACAGCCTACCAGTCCGTTTGAAACCAATTACATTTATCCTGTTGAAACCAATATAATTTGTCATTGTTTACAATGTATTAATGTGAAATATTGAATAATATTCATCTTTCAAAATCTGAAAAATTTATGTGAATATGTGTCGATGGCTTGAGGAAGTAGGGCCTCATAAGTCCCCCACCAATTCTTCGATGCATGAGTGGACTAACAAATTATGTATTCATTTTTAAATAGATTTATAATTTATTTTTAAATTCTATATATTTTTAAGGTGGAGGTGACCCCCATACCCCTTTCCTGGAGCTGTCTTGGATAATTGTCTCTCTCTCAGGGATAAATAAGTTGGGTCTGAATGACTAACATGACTAATGAACCCACTCTCAGCCTGGAAAGTTGGCAGCATTTGAGGTGGCAAAACAGCTCGAGCTAGGAACATGGGGAAATACTCTCAGCGTTTCTGTATTGTGTTGTTGTGAATCCAGATGTCAGTCGAAGTGTATATTTGTGCACTTGACGGGATGAGGGATGAGAATGACCATTGCCTTGTATAATCCTGTGAATAATGTGAACGTTGTCTAATGTACAGTGTACTATAGGACCTCCCAGTAGGTTCCTACTTCACAAAAGAACCCTCAGTGTCAAATGGACTTTTTAAAAGAATCCTTCTGTTGTTTTCACTAGCCCTGGACCTCAGAAGTATTATGGTCTCCCTAACAGTTGCATTCTAATGAGGGGCTTTGACTTTACCCTCTGTATTTTCATAAACTTGTTCTAGAAATGTGTGTAAAAAAATGGATTAATCTAGGTAAGATGATGACACACAATTTTTTTGTTTCTTTAAATTTAAAATTGTGTAATTGTCTTCAGTAAGCTTAGGGAAAATTTCTTGAACTGGAAAGTTTACTTAGAGAAAGTATATTGAAGCTAAAACTTTCAATACCTTTAAATTATCATGTGTCTGCAGTTCTCCAGATCTGTAAGAATTTTTAAGTGAGCCTCATATTTGATATGATCTTTTGTGAGGAAAATGTTTTCCTTCTAAAATATTAATGTTTTTGTAATTCAGTCACTTTAAACTTAAATACTAACCTTCTTGATTCCAAACTCAAAACATTTGTATGAAAGTTGCTTCGATATTTTCTTACTAATTTTGTTTTTTATAATATAAAACCCAAACCTGAAGAGAATTCTGAGGTTCTGTCAATCTCATATTTTGTTGAATTTTCACAATATTGCAAAAGTTGCGGAAGAGACTGCAAGTTTGCATTTTGCTGATATTTATGGTAAGACTGTGTTTCATTGTACACCAGCAAAAGTAATACTTCATAACAAAAGAAAATATTTTTGTGAAGAAATTGCTGGCTGCTGACTATAACTTTCTATGATAAATTACAGAAATTAAAATATACTGAGTATAGATTCAGTTAATGTTGAAGAATAAAAATGTATTAATTTAAAACAAAGAAAAAAATCACTACCATTTTGAAATACTCTGTCTGTCTGTCTGTGAGGAGCAGAAGTATGATTGATAGCATACAAATGTTGAGCATTGTTTCTGTGATTGTGGTGAACACTTTTAACATTTGTGGAGGAGTTTTATTTGTGAATGATATGAAATTTTCTCTGGCATGTTTCAGGCTCTTGCAACACTTCCTGATCCAGAAGCACTTTTTATGGACGACCCACTTGACTTTCCCGCTGCTGAAAAAGAGGGGAAGGACCATGTCTGGGGAATGGATGAGTTTTCGAATGAACCATCTAGTACTGACACACAACGAACTCATTTGTTTCAGTTTGAGGTGAGTCTATTTTTGCATACAGTATGTTTTATCTTAGTGAATTTCATTCTAGTACAGTCCTTGATTATTTTTGCATATTTTATTCCAATCCCGGGCATCACTGCATGGGGCTACAAAGGGGATATGCCCACCCAATATCTTTTCTTATTCGGGGTATTTTAGAAGGGACTACCCTGGAATCTATAACTTATGTATTGAATGATCCTCACACTTCCTAGTAACCTGCTAGTGATAATACCCTTGATTCCAATTAACAGATGTGAACAATGTGTAACTTTATTTCCTTTTCCTTTATTTCTTTCTTTACTTCACAAAAATATTTATATCTGTTAACAAATTTAATCATTTTAAATGATATCTTTTTGTTTTAACATTTCCATTGCTTCTGACATTAAATCCTCAAGTTTTTATAATGCTTACTTCTCAAAATTTTGGAAGAGCACTGCTTTGGAATGTAGCAGGTGATTTACCCTTGGGGTAATGGCAGTCATTGCTAAATTTGGAGGGGAAAAAAAAACAAACAAAAAAACTTACATTTCTTGGTAACTATTGTGTTCGAAGCACCCATGTCAGTTAATAAAGATTAATAAATAATTGTTAGATTACAACCAAAAGCTTTGGAATATATTAATATTAATAAAAGTTACAACTGATATTTTTTAGGTGACCGTGATTCTCCCCTAAACTTCAGTTTTCATAAAAGTTAAACTCCCTTCTGATTTTATTCTCGACAACCAAAGACTTCCAATATTTTTGTTCCAATAAACGTAAACCTTAAAACATACACTTCCAATAAACTTAAAACTTACCTATGTTTTGTCCATGTTATTTTAATTCTATAGTGTACAGATTTGAAAACAGATGAACATTGCTAATTTTCATTCAGTAGTAGAAGTACTCTAAATGGGAATCATTAAGTTTTCTTTTTATTTGCATTTCTATAATATTTTAAAACACTCAGGTTCATCATACACAGATACATGAAAATATTATTTTAGTACAGTGGCATGTAGCAGTCACAGATACTTTCCAGTTGTAGAAAGTGATGAATTTATTTTAATGTACCTGCCATTAACACACTCCCTGTCCCTAAGAAAATGTTAAAATACATCCACATGTCCAAACGACTTTACCCCCATAATTGTATTTTAATTCTATTGCAATATTCTCAAAAATTAAAATAATTTTCCATGCATCCCTGGTATTTTAAAATTCTATGAGCATCGTAGCAAGTCCAAACTAAAATTTGTGCAGTTATGGCACGTTCTATGGAAATATTAGCCATAGAAGTTGGAAATATCTGTGCACCATGTGTGGTTCACAGACATACTAAAACCATTGAGTGTGCCATTTTGAAAACCACTTATGGCTCACAGGACAGTGAATATGTTCATTCCTGTTTTTTTACCCTAAGCGTAAGTATAGAGAACGAAAAATCCAAAATTACTGTGGCTTTCATATAGAAAATCTTTAGAAAACAGTAATTTCATATTAAATAATGTTATAGTTCATGTAATATAATTTTATAAACAATACTAGAAGTGAATAATTTAGAAGTGTACACATTGTAGTCCCTTATTTTCTGATTTTTAAAATTTTGGAATTGTAACCCACTAATTATGTCCTATTCTACTCTGCGGCTCTTCTACAATGTATTTCTGAATAGTGGAAGCGCTATGATCTGTTTTTATTTATATATTTTAGATTGCTTTTCATCTACATGGTTATTAGTGACCTCGGGTACTATTAATTCAAATTTAGCATATTGGAAAAACTGTCAACACAAACAAATGTTCTTAAATCCTTGGTGTTCAGGTGTACTTGCACTGCTTATGTATTACATTTATTTGTTTTTAAAATTTTAATTCAATTATTTTAAAACTCTGTTAGTATAATATGTCTTAAGGTAGGGTGCAAATTGGCAATTTTCTTCTATGGGCGATATTTAAACCTTCAGGAAACAGCGATAGGGGATGTATTGGCAAGTGAAATGAAGATCATCTTGTCTAATGAAGAGTCTGAATGAATCCGGGATCCTGAGTATGCTTCTGGGAGAGTGTTCTTTTCCTATTTTTTGGACATGTATTTTTTGATTTGAACATTTCAAAGGTGGAAGTCATCAATGAGGTGCATAGATATGGATTTACAGATTACTCATGTCCATGGTAGGATACTTTTCTAGCAGGGAACATCAAACACAATTGAAAACTGAATTCTTGCATGTCTCATAGATCCTACGTCCTTGGCACAGGTGCCAATGTGTCAACTATGATGCATCTCACGCTGAAGATGGTCACAGGACAGCCGAAACATTGGCACCTGTGCTTACAATGTGGCATCCCCCGGTAAGAAAAGTACTCCCTGACTCCGGCCATGGATGCCTATGCTTTCTCTAGAGAAACTCTATTTGCCTCGTTTCTCTAGAGAAACTCTCACCTTGCTCCAAGGGCAGTGATAGTGGGTTTTTATTCAGTTTGCATGATAACTTTTCACCTCTCTTTCCTTGGATTATATGATCTCTCAATGGATGAAACACACTCTTTCATTATGAGTGGATTACACTTCTGTAATTGTTACTCCAAATTTTTCAGTTGCGATGTGTGTAACTATTGACTCCAAATTTGTATTTGTGATGTGTATAATTATTGACAAAGTTAAAGTGGAAATTCAGTAATTCAGATTTTATGTGTGCCACCAATGGTGCAGTGTTAATCTGTTTTGCCTGTTGATTTTTAACCTATTACTTCATTTATGTTCCACCTTGTTCAAATTTTTATTCTTTAATTTGCAACTACTATAGACATTTCTTCAACTTGTCAGATAACAGTGTATTTTTTACTGTTCTTTGCATTATGGTTGGCTTTTATTGTAATAGTGTTTCCATTAGATTACATTGGTTAGTTGTCAAAATTTGATATATTATACTATTATGTAATTTATTGGTTGAATTATAAATATTAGGTTCTGAGACTTGTTTCTTTTTTCTTTTCCATTAATTTTCATTGTCGTCTTGTAATTTCTTTCTTATATAAATCAATCATTTGCATTTCTCAAAATGTGTCTTTTAAGTTGCATTCCTTTTGCAAATTTTCATTCAATTTATACGAAGCATTAGTTTTCTTCATTGCACAGACGAGGATTGACAATAATTTAATTTTTAATCATATTATTGTTTTCATTTCTCAATGCAGAACATTTATAATAACATAATTAATAAAAAGAGAAAAGTGGGTATTTTTCTTTGAACCCATTGTAAACAATGATAATTGAAATAAACTTGATAATAAGAACATTTACAAATTTCTTTGAAGCAAGGACTAGCTAAGGTAAAATAAATTTAAAAGTAAGTGACAGAGAGCTTAAAGAAGGTTTTGCAATTATCTTGCCAGTACTCTTTATTTAATGATGTTTATTTGATCATATAACTTTTTACTTGCATGACTTTCTTCTTTGGTGGAAACTTTGTTTATGTACTGGTACCTATGTGGCCCTACGTATCATCTGATTTTGTAGTCAAATATTTATTGCTTTTCACTCCTCTTGGTTTTTTTCAAGTTGTGTATATTAACAGTTACTTTCAAGTTATAATATTCTTCATTATTGGCAAGAACACAAAAATATTGACACAATTGAATTAGAATTTTGTGCAACTGGAACTAATTATTTTATGTTTTTACTTCTGTGCCATCTGGCGCCTATAAAACTTTTCTGAAATTTTTTACTACTTCTACTGTGGTTCAATGATGAAAATACTGAAATAAAATCTTAACCATATAATTTGTTTTATTATGAACTGTTTACTATTTAAGACATGCTGTTATTTTCTAAACAAGTTATTTCTCAGAAAGAGAACTCCATTGAATTATATGGATACAATGAAATTGTAGGAAATAAGAAGTCCTTGGTTTAGTTTCACAGATTACAAAATTGTCAAAAAACAAGTGGCCACTGAGCATTCTTCAAGTCCAGAAGAAATGGGTATATGATCTAAAAGCAGTTTGAAAACGGCTCATAATTTAAGTAATGTTTTGTTCTATTTCCACTTTACTGCGAATTTTATATGAAATTTAAAGTGGTATAAAAGGAGACTAACTTGCAATAAAGAGCACTTAACTGACAAAAAGAAAAAATGTGTAATTTCAAAATACCTTAATTTGTAGATCATGATGGTGTACATGTCCCTTCCGAAAAATCACATTTGTTGAAAACATTTTGCTTCTCTGTTTGAGGAAAGAGTAAAATCTTTCCAAATTTTTGACAGATTCTAATTTAAATTTTGCATATTAATGACGTATGTTAGTTCTGCAGTGGTAAATCAAAGGACAAGAGAAAGCTTATTACCTGCTGAAAAATTTATAAGGTAGGCCTATTAACCTGTCATGAAGTCAAATAAGATTGTGATAGTTGATTAAAGTAGTATTAAACTAGCAAAAAGAAATGTCTTTTGATTAATTTCATAATAACAAATTAAAAAATATATCAAAATTATTATTTTTAGCTTGGAATCAATAAAAAAATTATTTTTCTCATGAAAAACAAGTTAATATTAAAAAACATTAAATAAAACTATTTAAAAATAAACTTGTATTTTGTCGCTCTCAAAGTAGCAAGATTGAAATGTGATACCATATTTAAAAGAATTTTCTCTTTTTTAAATTTTGTAAGAATGATTTGTACTGCAGTCTAAAGCCCAAATTGACAATGTTTTCCTCTATTATTTGAAAGAAGACACGATTCAAAAAGGCTAGATCTTTCATAAATCAATATATTGGCTCAGCAGGTACAATGCAAACTAAAATTAATGTAAGTGCAATTCTTGAAATGTTTTCAACAACTTTGAACATTTAAAGATCGCACTTTTCATTATTGGATGATAGTGCTTTTCATAATGCATTTTACATCAAAATGAATTGATCCAATACCTTGTAAAGTATGGAATAAACATGAATGTTTGTTCTGTAGTGGTGTGAAGTGTGTGTTTGTTTGTTTGTGTGTGTGTGTGTGTGTGTGTGTGTGTGTTTGTGGTG